AACCAATAGGATCCTCTCATTAACGGGCAAGCTAAGAATCACTAAAGGAGATTGAGAAGGAAAACCACCAGAACAACAGGGGGCTTTTGCAAAATCAGGCACTGGTGATCAGAGGTGGCCATTTAAAACATAGAACATGGGTCATGACGGTGCATAGCTCAACTGCCGTTACTATATAGATGACAGTGTCTATCAGTAAGCACGAGACAGAGCTGTGATTATGTTAAGCTGGGACAGTGTGTGTTGTATGCTCTCAAGCTGAAACTGACCCGTAACTGACCCTCCAGAAGATTTTTCAGGCGCAGTAAATCACAGGGAAGGAGATTACCCACCCTTCTCCAGCCAACTGTGGGCCTTTGGGATTGCAGCACAGCTTCTTTCCCCTTACCCTACCACGCCAACGGAACTCTGATAGTGTTTAGCAGATGGAGGTAACATAGTATGGATCTTCAGGAAAGGCTTTACTGTAGAGGAAGGTTTGGAGGTGTGGAAAATGAATCGAATTAAATAGGTTCAGTGGGGTACTAGGAAGCTTGCAGAGGAAGGCAGCACAAAGTCTTGGAAGACTCAAAAGAAGGCCTGTATGATTTGCAGAATGTAATGAAAGTACAAATTGGAAATACCAGCCCTTGATCCTGCTTGTTCAAATGATTTTGTTCTTTCAGAATTAATTTTTGATAACTTGTAATGGTAAAAATATGTTTCTAAAAAACATGTAAGTTAAGGATGTTTCCTCCAAGATTGCTCAAGGACCTGGAAGCCATCAGTTAATGATTACTAAATGTAATCATCTAGGGAAGCTCACACTTCCATCTCTCATTTTTCTGGAAGGAGATTGACATTACCTCCACATATACATACCTTTTCAATCTATATTCAGAAAAGATCATTTGGGAAGCAGGGCTTTGTTAGGAGGAATGTGGCATCGGAATTGGAGGTAGATTCATCAACAACCTATGAGGATGACACGACCTTGCTTAAATTGAAGAATACCTGAAGTGCTTGCTGCAGAAGGTCAAGGACTGTAGTCTTCATATGGCTTGAAGATTAACATCAAAAAGACAAAGATTCTCACCACAGCACCATGATAGATGGAGAAGAGATTGAGATTGTTAACAATTACAGCTTGCTTGGCTCCACAATCAACACTCTTAACACCAGCAGTCAGGAAATCAAAAGATGAATTGCATTGGGAAAATCTCCACCAGGACCTCTTCAGAGTGCTGAAAAGCAACTATATTAGTCTAGAGACTAAGGTGCACCTAATCCAGGCCATGGTCTTCACAATTACTTGTTATGCATCAGAGAGCTGGACAATGACTAAGAAAGACAGAAGGAGACTATATGCCTTTGAATTGTGGTGCTGGAGAAGGGTCTTGAACATACCATGGACTTCCAAGAAAACAAATAGGTCTATCTTGTAGAAGGTAAAACCAATTTTCTCCTTGGAGGCTAGGATTTTGAAGCTTCATCTCACATACTTTGGGTACATAGCCAGGACAGACAAGTCCTTGGAGAAGGACATCATTTTTGGAAGTGTGGATGGACAGCACAAGAGAGGAAGACCTCGGATGAGATGGACTGATACAGTAGCTGGGGTAATAGGAGTCAGTATGTCTGAATGAGTGAGACAGGCTCAGGATAGGGCAGGCTTCAGAGCTGCTGTCACTATGAGTCACAGGCAACTCGACGACACATAACAACAACAACAACAACATCATGCAGTAAAACTTCACTCATTACCGACAAATCCACATAGACTCCTAGCTGACTCTCTAGAAGGCTTTCAGAAGCTCTCAGTAGCACAGAAGTAGAAACTGCTGTTGGATTAAAACTGTCTGGGTTTTGTTTGGCAGCACAACTCTTTTTATACTGTAATAAAGACACTGGAGAATTAGCAATCCCTTATTTTTTTTTAAAAAAGGAGCCCTAATGGCTTATTATGTTAAGTTTTGGGCTGCTAAAAGAAAGATTGAGGGCTCAAAACCACCAACCATTCAACTGATTAAGGCAGTCTTCTTTCCCAAACCCATGTGAGTGGCCATGAGTCAGAATGGCCTCTACAGTAGTGGGTAGGTAGTGGTTGGGAGACGCGGTGGACAGTAATTAAGTAATCAGTTACTGGAACTCACCAATCTTAAAACTTTCTAAGTATTCCAGCCTTGGTAACCCTATAGGGCAGTTTCAGCCTGTCTCATGGGGTCACTGTAATTGAGGGGACTGCAAGAGATTTGGGGGTTTTCTGGTGATGCAACACGAAAAGTCAACTTCCATAAAAATTATGCTGCTTGGAAACTCCTTGAGATAATCCTACTCTATCTGGAAGAGTCCTATGAGTTAGAATCAACCCTGAGTCAATGGGGATTTCAAGCATGAATGCACTGAGCTGTATCCATTCAGCAATATAATAGTTAAGTTTTTCTTTGCAAGATCTTTAGCTGACAGGCTGCTTGTAATCTGGTTTAATGTTTATTCAATAAAGAATCTTTTCTTTCTCTTTATGGTGGAGAGGTTTTTCTGTGCTAGGGATAGTAAATTCCCCCCCCCATTTGTTTCATTTTTTTAATTCTTAAAGACTTTCAAATAGTTTTACCTTAATACTTGGGCAAGTTCATGTTAAAAAAAGATTAGGAGCCAGTCTTGAGAATGTTTCATTGAAACAGCATGTTCTCTGTCTACCTTACTTGCCTCATCAAGAAGATTCAACGCTTGTATTTTAGGCAGAATCACTTAATTGGCTGATCTGATGAAGTTGCCACAAAAATGGTAACGTGTCTAAGTAAACGAAGTTAACACAAGAAAAATGGACTGTAAAATTAGGAGCTGAAAAGGTGTTTAAAAAAACCAAAATGTGGCTCTCTGCTCCGCGTCGATCCAGATTGCCATCTTTTCTTGTGCAGCCTCAGCCGCATCCCTGAGACACAATGGTGAAGGTCGGAGTAAACGGATTTGGCCGTATTGGGCGCCTGGTCACCAGGGTTGCTTTTCACTCTAACAAAGTGGATATTGTTGCCATTAATGATCCCTTCATTGACCTCAGCTACATGGTCTATATGTTCCAATATGATTCCACCCATGGCAAGTTTAACAGCATTGTCAAGGCTGAGAATGGGAAGCTGGTCATCAGTGAGAAAGCCATCACTATCTTCCAGGAGCAAGATCCCACCATCAAGTGGAGTGATGCTGGTGTTGAGTGTGTTGTGGAGTACACTGGTGTCTTCACAACCTTGGAGAAGGCTGGGGCTCACTTGAAGGGTGGTGCTCCTTCTGCTGATGCCCCCATGTTTGTGATGGGCGTGAACCATGAAAAGTATGACAACTCTCCTCAAGATTGTCAGCAATGCCTCCTGCACCACCAACTGCTTGGCTCCCCTGGCCAAGGTCATCCATGACAACTACAGCATTGTAGAGGGACTCATGACCCCAGTCCATGCCATCACTGCCACCCAGAAGACTGTGGATGGCCCCTCTGGAAAGCTGTGGCGTGATGGCCGTGGAGCTGCCCAGAACATCATCCCTGCATCTACTGGCGCTGCCAAGGCTGTGGGCAAGGTCATCCCTGAACTGAATGGGAAACTTACCGGCATGGCTTTCCGTGTCCCCACCCCCAATGTGTCAGTTGTGGACCTGACCTGCCGTCTGGAGAAAGCTGCCAAATATGATGACATCAAGAAAGTAGTAAAGCAGGCATCAGAAGGGCCCCTCAAGGACATTCTGGGATACACTGAAGACCAGGTTGTCTCCTGTGACTTTAATAGTGACACCCACTCTTCCACCTTTGATGCTGGGGCTGGCATTGCCCTGGACGACCACTTTGTCAAACTCATTTCCTGGTATGACAATGAATTTGGCTACAGCAACCGGGTGGTCGACCTGATGGTTCACATGGCCTCCAATGAATAAGATCCCCTTGGACCACCAGCCCCAGCAATAGCACTAGAAGAGAGACCCTCAGCTGCTGGGGAGTCCTTGCCCCAACTTGATCCTCCCACACACTGAGAATCTCACACCCTTGACACAAGTTTCCATCAAATGCCCCTGAGAAAGGGGAGGGGCTTGGCGAGCCCATCTTGTCATGTACCATCAATAAAGTACACTGTACTCAGCCAAAAAAAAAAAACAAAACCCAAAATGTGACAACAGCTCTTAAATGTAATTTTTAAATAACTGTTCCTCGACGACAACCAAGAAGGAAGAGAATAGGTTCAGGCGAGGCTGAAGGGGAAACAGAAAAACTAGATTCAGAAATGGGCTCTGGTGGCCTGTGTTGTTGACTGCCTTCGAGCAGAGCACAACTTATAGTGACCCTATGAGCAAAAGGCTTGAAGCCCTTCTACAACTATGGACATTTATCAAAGTTCATAGGGTTTCCGGAGGCTTGTTGTTTGGGAAGTGGATGCCACTCCTGCTTCCAACTGGTGGCTTAGTGGTAAAAAATTGCACTGCAATATCAAAGGCACATGGCTTGAACCCACTAGCGGGATGATGGACAATCTTCTCCCATGTGATTGACCGCCGCTGGAGGGTTCAGGCTAGAGGGTCAGCTACTACGTCGGTTCCCACTCGAAGAACACAACAACCCTGGGACCAAAAAGATCAGAAAAAGTAGGAAAGGGCATGGCAAGTCTGTTCCACTTACAAACTACAAATCCCAAGAAGCATCGCTTGGTCACAGACGGATGTGAGGTGAGGCGCGAGCCGCGACCTTTGAAGGAAAAAAGGAAGTGTTTGGGCGTCGCAGAGCCTGAGAAAGGGAGCTAGGTAGGTACGGGCGTCGCCGGCGGCGGGTGGACTGCGGCCGGCCGGGGCCGCCGCGGGTCGCCCTCGCGGGACTCCGTGTTGTCGTAAGACGGAGGCCATTTTCGCGGGCCCCGGCGGCCCCGGCGCGTGTCGGAGAGTCGGGACGGGTGCGGGGCGGCCCTGAGACGGCGGCGGTGGCCAAATGGCCTCAGCCACCTGGTAATCGCATCTTTTCCCGGCGTCTCGTCTGCAGAGGGAGCACTATGTCCGCAGAAATCTCCGAGGCGGCCTCCGCGGAGGAGCAGAAGGTGAGTGTGTCGGCCGCGGGCGGGGGCAGCGGGCGTGGGGCGGCGGCCTGACCCCGCCGCGTGGGGCTGGGCGCGCCCGAGAATCCAGTCGGGCGGCGCTTGCTGCAAAGTGCTGTTTGTTCTGTCTGCTCGCTTGTGAAGTCAGAACATTCCAGTGTAGGCTTTCCGCGCTCACTCTTGTAATTAACACCACCATGTTGAGAGTTTGAATGTTCCCTAAGACATTTTTCCGAAACCGATCCTTTCAAATCCCCGAAAGTGTGCGTGCCTCGTTCAAATACATAGAGGAGCCCAGAACTCAGCTCTTGGGAGTGTAACCCCAGGCTTTTAAGAAGTTTTTCTTTTGCCTTGAACTCTGCAAGTGACTTGTATTGTGTGAGTGCCCCGGACTTTGTTGTTAACCTGGATTCAGATTTTCGTTCTAGTTATTTGTTGATGCTGTGACCTTATTCACTAAATTCTTAAGGCTTCCATTTACTCATCTGTACAACGGAAGTGATGATGTTTTGCTTCCTTCGTATTGTTGTGATCCTTAGATGAGTAGTGTTTGCGCAAAAATGTTAGGTTGTAGGATGCACAAATGGTACTTGACTACACAATCTAAAGGAACATTTTAAATGGAATTTTTTTCAGGTTTTTTTACATAGTTAACTAGCTGTCTCTTGAAAACAGTAATCTCTTAATATTGTGGTGTCTTTCGAATATAGAGAAAATGACTAGAAATTAATATGACTCAGATAATGAATATGAGGCTGTATAATTTATTTAGGCAAGCTCTTAACTTCTCCCACATTTATTTCTGCAGTTCTAAATTGTTATGAAGCGTTACCTACATGTTTACTTTAAAAACAAATATTACTGTAAATAGGACTTAGTGCTTGGATTTTATAAAAGTTTCTGCTTAGTGTTAAATCGTTGGTCCTAAAAAGGTTAGACGTTGGGTTAAAATTCTAAACTCCTTTCATAGATTCTTAACCGTCTTAATTTTTCCTGAATGGAATGGTTCTCTTAAGATAGTCCTTGTAAAGTAATTTTAAGAAAAACAAATGGTATAGAAAAGCAAATAGTCTAGATTATCACATTATGGGGGGAATAGTCCAGTGAAAAACCTTCCTGTGGGTAAATTTTTACACTTTGCAAAGAATAGGATTTGGAGATCAAAGTAGTTAATTTAAAGATTACAATTTTAATAGTAATATTAATAATACCTTATTTATTGTAATAGTCATTGTTGTTTTTGATTTAGGAATCCCCCAAAATAACAAACCATGTTTTTGGTGGCTTTACCTAAACTGATGTGTTGACTTCTCTGCACTAGTGTGCTTATGTAATTTTCCTTTGTAAAAATTAACTCATTGGAAAAAACATTAACTCTTTGCTGTCAAGTTATTACTGATGATGATGATTATATATTATTACCCTCCATTGCATTTCCAAGGCTGTAAATCACACAGGAGATTGCCCATCTTTTTCCTGCAGAACCAGTAGTAGATTCTGAGAGGCCTGGCCTTAAGGTTAAAAGAGCAGCTCTGCTATGCCACCAGAGCCTCATGTTTTGTAAGATTTGTTAATATGTTGCCCAGGTATGAAGTGTAAATTTCTAGAGTGCCAGTGCTTTTACTTGGTCAGTTTAGTGTCTTTTAACAGTTGTTGTTGTTGTTATGTGCCATCGAGTCGTTTCCGACTCATAGCGACCCTATGCACAACAGCTCTAAACCCTGCTCTATCATGCGCCAACCGCACCAGCTCTGACACACCCATCCCGATTACCCCAGTCACCGAATCAATCCATCTCATAGAGGGTCTTCCCCTCCTGCACTGTCCCTCCACCCTCCCAAGCATGATGTCCCTCTCCAAGGACCCGCCCCTCCTGGCAACATGTCCAAAGTATGTCAGACGAAGCCCCAGAATCCTTGCCTCCAAGGAGCAGCTTGGTTTAATCCTCTCCAAGATGGATCTGTTTGTTTTCCTGGCAGTCCAGGGTACATTCAGTACCCTTCTCCAGCACCACAGCTCAAAAGCATCCACTCTCCTTCTGTCCTCCCTAGTCATTGTCCAACTCTCTGATGCATAACAAGCGATTGCAAATACCATGACCTGTATCAGGCACACCTTAGTCTCCAGAGAGACACTGTTGCTCCTGAGTATGTTTGAGAGGTCCCTAATGGCAGACTTTCCCATCGCGATACGCTTTTTGATTTCCTGACTGCTGGTACCAAGAGTGTTAACTGTGGAGCCGAGCAAAGTGAAGCTGTGAACACTCTCAATCTCTTCATCATCCATCCTGACGCTGCCAATTGGTCCAGTGGCGAGAATCTTTGTCTTCTTGACGTTGAGCCTTAGTCCATACTGAAGGCTGCAGTCCTTGACCCTTCGCAGCAAGTGCATGAGGTCCTCCTCAGTTTCAGCAAGCAGGGTTGTGTCATCTAACGCAGATTGTTGATAGATCTTCCACCAATCCTGATGCCACAATTCTCCTCATAGAGCCCAGCCTCTCGGATAATCTGCTCTGCATACATGTTGAAAAGGTATGGAGACAGGATGCCTCCCTGGCGTACACCCTTCCCTATTTTGAACCATGCAGTGTTACCCTTCTCTGTTCTGACTACTGCCTCTTGGTCCAAGTATAGGTTTCATATTAGCACAATTAAATGTTCTGGGATTCCCATTCTTCTCAGAGTCAGCCACAGTTTGTTATGATCCACACAGTCAAATGCCTTTGCATAATCAATGAAACACAGATAGACATTCTTCTGGTATTCCCTGCTTTCAGCCAAGATCCATCTAACATCAGCAACGATATCCCTAGGACCACGACCCCTTCTAAACCCAGCCTGGACTTCAGGCAGTTCTCTGCTGATGTGCTGTTCTAATCGTTTTTGGATGATCTTCAGCAGAATCTTGCTTGCATGTGAAATCAATGACACTGTTCTGTAGTTTCCACACTCAGTTGGGTCACCTTTCTTTGGAATGGGAACAAATATAGATCTCTTCCAGTCAGTTGGCCAAGTGGTTGTTCTCCAGATTTCTTGGCACAACTTGGTGAGCACGTCCAGGGCAACATCTGTTATCTGAAATACTTCAATTGGTATACCATCTATTCCTGGGGCTTTATTTTTTGCTATTTCCTTCAAAGCAGCTTGAACTTCTTCCTTCATCACCATAGGCTCTTGCTCATGTTATTTCTTTAAATTCCTCTGTATCTGCCAATTCCTTTCTATATAATGACTCAGTATATTCCTTCCATCTTCTTTTAATACTTCCTGGATCATTTAATATTCTGCCCGAAGCATCCTTGATTACACCAACTCTAGGTTTGAATCTGTTCTTCAGTTCTTTTAACAGTACTAAGGATATTTTTAAGTGGGTTTTTTTTTTGTTTTGTTTTGCTTAATGAGTGTCTGCATTAAAAATTTATGTCCAGTCTTTTGGGTTTTATGGCTTTGGTCATTAATTCCAAAATGTGCTGGGAATAAAAAGTCTTTCTGAGTTGAAGATTGCTGTAAATGTGAGAGTGATGTTCTCATGGATGCTACCTAAACATTTTGAAAATCTCTAGTGTCATTGCTGTGTTCTTACAGGAAGAACACGTCAGTCAACTAAAAAACTTAGGTTATTGTGTATGCAGTCATTTGAACTTTCATCTAAAGAATTTAGTGAATATACTGTTACAAGAAGTCATTCCTGGAGTGGAAGTTTAAGAGCAAGGATTTTGTTCTCAGAACCTTCCAGGAAAAGAAGCTGTACGTGACAGTTGTACTTAACAACTTTAAATTGAAGTCCCACTTTCTACATCATAAAAGCCTGACAGCAGCATGGTATGGTCATAATCAAAGAAATCCTGACGCCTTGAGACTTAAGCCATTAGGGGCTTATCAGTGGGAGATGGGTGTTGAATGGTGTAGGCAAAAGTAGGAAGGGATGGTGGTGGAGTAGGAAAGGGTGGATAAACAACAACCAAAAAACCCAAACAAACAAAAACCAACCAAACGTGTAGCGGGATGGGTAGCAACATTGAATATGATCTTTTTTCCAACTGGTAAATGTCTTTGATCTGCTCTTTTCTGTAGAATGCTTGTCTGTCACATAACTATTATATATATGTAGATTATATATAGGTATATATAATATATATTATTATATATAAGGTCTTCGAAAACTATGTACAATAGAGCACACTTAGACTATCATTTGGATTAACAGACATGGCAAGTAAAACTGAAATCTTAGAAATGGAAACACAAGAGAAGGAGGAATAGCTGTAAGGAGACACTAGTGATTGGAACGTGGATTGTGAGAAGCATGAATGTAGGAAAATTGGACATTGTTAAGAAGGAAATGGAACGCATAAATATTGACATACTAGGTATTGGCGAAATGAGATGGCTTGGCATGTTTGAATCAGATGATCATATGATTTACTGTGCCGGGGATGAAAAGGTGAGAAGAAAAGATGGGGTTGATTTCATAATTAAAATAGTCATTTCTAGATCTATCCTGAAATACAATGTGGTGAGCAACAGGATAATATCCATATGCATACAAGGAAGTCCAGTGAATACCACTATCATTCAAATATATGC